TATTTAACAGATAAAACATGATTTTAATGGTTTAATGAGCAAAAGAATAATTTAGTGATTAGATCGGATAAACATCATAACATCATCACTTTGATATGCAACAGTGACATCTTCCATTATTAAAAAATGTATAATTTACACCCTTTAACTTTTCAAACACGTCCAAAATGCAGTTAACTAACTAACTACCCTCATGTTTTCATATATAGTCATTTCCTAAAAAAAATCTTAACACAATGGTAGGTTAGCAAAGTCAAGACTTGATTAAATAGAAGGGTTTATTATTTTATATATATATATATATATATATATATATATATATATATATATATATATATATATTAAAGTTATGAAAAAATTTAACCCTTCAACCTTATATTTTTTTCACAAACAACCCTTTCACTTTCGTTTGAATTTTTCATAACCCTCGCCTTTTATTACATATTATTAGTATTTAGTTAATGTGTATATGGTGGGGATTTGTTTTTTAATTTAGGGTCTTGATTAAAGAGAAAAAAGCTACGAATTAAAATTTAATAATAAAGTCATATCAACAACGTTTAACCGGTGAAACCGAAAAAAATTATGATTTTTCCACTATTTAACAGATAAAACATGATTTTAATGGTCTAATGTGCAAAAGAATAATTTAGTTATTAAATCGGATAAACATCATAACATCATCACTTTGATATGCTACAGTGACATTTTCCATTATTAAAAAATGTATAATTTACACCCTTTAACTTTTCAAACACGTCCAAAATGCAGTTAACTAACTAACTACCCTCATGTTTTCATATATAGTCATTTCCTAAAAAAAATCTTAACACATTGGTAGGTTAGCAAAGTCAAGACTTGATTAAATAGAAGGGTTTATTATTTTATATATATATATATATATATATATATATATATATATATATATATATATATAAAAGTTATGAAAAAATTTAACCCTTCAACCTTATATTTTTGTTCACAAACAACCATTTCACTTTCGTTTGAATTTTTCATAACCCTCGCCTTTTATTACATATTATTAGTATTTAGTTACATTAATATTTTTTTTGGCATGAATGGTCCCTCAACTATATTTGAGTCATTTAAAGTTGCTTTCTTTTTGTCTTTTTTGGTCCCTCTACTTCCATCAGTTATTTGTGGCATTATAGGTTACTATGTTTTCGTTTAATTGTCACTTTATTAGTTTTGATTACAGATTCATTGATGTTTTTTTTTCTTATTTATTTATTTATTTGTTTATAGATCAGTTAAAGAGAGAATGAATGAACAACTCAAAAACTATAAACATTTTCAAAGAAAAAACAATGAAAAATTTTGTCGCAACCGATCCCCGCAACGCGGGGGTTCCCCATCTAGTTATTATTATTATTATTATTATTATTATTATTATTATTATAAATTTATCAAAATAATTTTACATATTTGCCAAAGTTAACCTTTTAATTTAGTTTTAATTATATAGTTAATTTTTCTCAATGACTATTTGTTTTATTTTATTATTTGTTTCTTTAAATTTATTTATTTATTTATTTTAACAAAATTTTAATTACTTCAGTTTAATATATATATATATATATATATATATATATATATATATATATATATATAAAAGTTCAAATGTGGGTTGACATCTATTGTACGAACGTGTGGACAATGCTATTCTTTGAGAATGACAAAGAAAATATATTGTTTGATAATATGAATACGTTCAATATTATATAATTATTGTAATTCTTAAGCATTTTTACTAATTAAATCGTCTATAAGGTTATTATAGATTTTTTTAATTATTCTCATTTTGTCAGAATGTTTATTGAGTCATGTTCTGTAAGAATAAAAATAAATGAAAAACGATGCATGAGAACAAAAATGAATTAGAATTAGTGAGAATACATTAAAATAACAATAGTTATGTGAGATTAAGCGTATTCACATTACTAAATAACATATTTTCTTAATAATTATCATAAAATAGCATTATCCACACGTACAATTATTACCCATCCACATTATAACTTAGCCATATATATATATATATATATATATATATATATATATATATATATATATATAAAGTAAAAAACAAAGTTTTAGACCTAAAATGAGGATGTTATAGTTTATGAAAACTATGAAATAGAAACCCCACTAAACCTTCTTATTTCTCTTCTCACTGTAGGTTCCATATCGCTTTCTCTTATGATCGATAGACAATAATAAAGAGGCACACCTAAAAGTTTCTTTTAATTTTTAGTGTTTAGGAGTAGTCTATATCGGCTTGTACAGATATCGATAACGCTAATATTGATTACTATCTCCTACATCAAATAATCCTTACATAACAAGGTTTGAATCCTAAACATTATATGACTAATAATCTGATCCTTACATAGCAATGTATGAATCCTAAACATTATATGACTAATAATCCTAGTTGAATAGTTTGGTGTCTACTTGAATCCTAGTTTTAGGAATTGTAAAATTTTAATATGTTATTTTCACTAGACATTCTTCGTAAAATCATTTTGAATCATTTAATTACCAATAATCTTCAGAATTTGTCCATATTGTTTTTCAAAAGGTTTTGAACATAGAAATACATCTCGTTATTCCTGATTTTTCTTGCTTCATTCTCCATATGGTAGTGCCTCGTCTATGTGTTTAGTTGGCCTTGTACATCTTTGTTTGGTTGTTTACAAAGTTAATGGTGATTGTCCAAACACTGACGTGGTGGGAATGTTTTTTTTTCTTCCACTTAGGAGGGATCATACATTTTTTCTCGGCTAATCGTAACAAGGTGCTCGTCATTTGCTCAATATGAATTACGAACGACATTTACGATAAAGTGTTAGTGCAATAGACTCTACATTCTTGGGCTACTAGATCATGGATATGGATAAGAGGGTTTCGCATTTAATATATAAACATTAGAAAAAAGGGCTACTAGTATATTTTAACAACCCGATCAACCCAATGACGGACCTGAATACATCTAACGTGGCGTAAAAAGGGGTACACCATTAGATATTATTTATAAAAAAATAAAAAGGTTTTAAAAGAATTGACATCAATTAGGGATGAGCATCCGACTTGGGACTGGACCGGACCGGAAAAGAATCGGGATCGGATCCAGACCGAACCGAATTATCGTATTAGTGGGCCGGTTTTCAGGTTTGATTTTTATTAATAGTCGGGTTTCGGGTTTGGACCGGACAGTACCCAAATTAAAGGATTTAACCCGGACTGGAAAATGAAAAGTTAATTTTTTTTTCGACAAATTGTAAGCTAGAATTACTAAAAAATGTTGTCTGATTGAACTGATTCGCCATCTCATTTGGATGACATTATAGTGTTATTATTTTTTTTTTTGCTTTCGGCCTCTTCTCTTGATCGCATTATGATGTCGATTTTTTTTCTTGAAAAACCAAGAGTTATTTCATAGTTTAATTTTTTTAATAAAAATTTTGTTTTATAAAAGCAGTGCAGTTATATATATATATATATATATATATATATATATATATATATATATATATATATATATATATATATATATATATATATATAGTGATGTTAAGTGCATATTTTTTAATAGCGTTTGTATTTGTTTCCATACACCTCATTTGCACATGTTTTAATTAGTGTCTCACAATATACGGTTTTATTCATCATCTTTTATGCATTTTTTTTAATCGAATTGTGCAAACAATAAAGATATGAATGATGTATGTTAAGATTATAATTTGAAATAGTATGCTAGAGAGTAACATGACAAACAAAACCTAAAACCGTAAACAACAAACATATGAAACCCAGTTTGGTATCAAGAACATGATTGAACCGAAACCTTAAACAACACTACCAAAATCTAATTCGGTTCAAAACAAAAAACCCGTTTTAGTACCATGACCTGGAACGGACCAAACTCGGACCTGCTACAATAAATACGGTCCACTTTTCGGGTAAAATAATTCACGATTTTCAGTACTCTGACTGGCCTAGTCTAGATTCAGCCTGTTGTTCATCCCTAGGAATTTTTTGAACACCGTTGTTTTCAAGTTAAAATTTTATTTATTAATTTTTTTAGTGTTTTTAGGACTGCATGAACATTACAAAATAAAATTTTATTTGTGTACTTTAATAATAACAAAAAGAAGACGTTGACGAAATCAAATATGCTTTTTTCTCTACAAAATATAAAGAAAACCTTTCAAAAACAGTCCATGTATTTTCCCGGCTTTGTGTTTCGAGCAGTGTCCTGTCTTCGATAGTAAAGAGGGGTCGTGCCTCTTTCTGACAATATTCTCTGAACGTCTTCTCTCTCTCCTATTTCTTTTGTATTTCTCTGCTTCTCGTTTGTCTGGGTGCTTGTGCCCCTCTCACTAATCTAATCAAACCTCGGTTGGCTCTAATTAGTAGCAAACACAACAGTTAATTCACCAACAAATCCGAAAAACACATCAAGTGGAAGCAACCAAGCATCAATGTCAACACTGTTTGCACTTCTCCTGCTCCCTTCCCAAACTCACTTCTTTTAGGGTTTCTTTTTCTACCTTCTGGCTACTCGATTGCTACTACACTTTCCTCACATCGCTTTCGCTGGATTTCCCGTTGCTGATTTCTGGTATGTATCCCAGCGAATCTACTTTACCAAACCTTTCTCATTGTTTCATCTCTTGTAAATCGATCTCTGTGTTTATCATCACATCTTTCGAGATTCTATATCGTTGCCAATTCCGTTCAAGAAGAAAAAATCCCTCTTTTTAACGTGAAGAATCTTGGTGGCGAAAATGGAGTTAGATCTATGGATTCTCAGTACATTTGATGATTTTTAACCTGATCGGTCTTTTGACAAGTTGTGGGTTTGTCATTGTTTGATATCACCGTTTCCTGTATGCTCTGTATTTCTTTTTTCTTTATTGAGCTTGCTTTTCTACCAGGATCGTAATACCAGTACATTTGCATCTTTATATCCGAAAATGGAGTTCCTTAAAATGAGGAAGTTCAGAAAAGCCCACAAACCAAACCCAGAAAAGGAATCCGACAACAATCCTGTTCCTGTTCCGGGTCCCGAAGATCCCAGGAAAGATAACGACGATGACTTGGGGAAATCGGCGACGGCGGATGTCGACAATGCTACGGAAGCCGATGAGGACGATGATGACTTTATCATGAATGAGGTAAAGAGAAGACTAAAAGAACTGAGAAGGAACAGTTTCATGGTGCTGATACCTGAAGAAACATGTCCCGAGGAAGAGGAACCAGAGGAGGAAGAGGAAGACGAAGGTCAAGCCAGCTCCAATGAGTGGCGCGATGTAGAAGCCGAAGGCCGACAATTATGGTCTTGTTTTGGTGCTTTCTACGATAAGTACTGTGAGCGCATGTTGTTCTTCGATCGTCTCACTACACAGCTCTTAAAAGAAATCGGTAATTTTTCCCATCGTAACTTCTCTTATCGATTGATTTCTAACGTCTAACTTCTAAGAATCTAAAATGTCACACAGGTTCACTCAATCCTTCGACTCCATCACCAAGGTCTGTGTCCAAGAAGCTTACATCCCCTCTTCGATGTCTATCTTTGAAAAAATTCGAACCCCCTGAAGATGAAACAGAGCACCTGCAACAACAACCAGAGAATGATCCATATCTGGATCTGGAAACAGCATACGTATCTCAACTTTGCTTGACATGGGAGGCACTTCATTGCCAGTATACTCAACTAAGCCAGATTCAATCTGAAAATGAAAATTCCAAATGTTACAACCATAGCGCACAACAGTTTCAGCAATTTCAGGTTTTGCTGCAACGATTTATTGAAAACGAACCTTTTGAACGTGGTCTTAGGCCTGAAGTTTATGGTCAAACAAGAAATTCGCTTTCTAAACTTCTGCAAGTTCCGAATATATTAGGTGAATATCATTAGGCATTGGGTATCGCTTCTATTTGAAGAATAAAATGATCGTTTATAAAAATTCTTGATGGTTATATCTAATTACAGGTCAAGATCGAAAGGAGATGACAGAAGAGGAATCGGAAATGGTTGTGGAAGCTTCAGATCTTCTTAGAATAATTGAGACCTCGATTCTTACTTTTCAATTGTTCATAAAGATGGACAAGAAGAAGTCAAATGGTGTCCGGAATCTATTTGGAGGTCAGAATCAGATGGTTACCCCTGTTCAGCAGGTTCAGGCGTCACTGGAGAAGGTGAGGAAAGGGTTAATTAGTAATTTCACATATGCCACCATGAATCTATTTGATTGATGATGATATTTGTTGATTATTGCAGAAGAAGGTGAAGTTGAAGGAGCTGTGGAAGAAGAGGAAAGGTGGGAAGAAGAATCAGTGGCCTGGAACACAAGAGGAGGTGGAGTTGTTACTTGGGGTTATAGATGTGAAGGTGATAAACAGGGTGTTGAGGATGGTGAAGATTAGTAAAGATCAATTGTTTTGGAGTGAAGAAAAGATGAAAAAACTGGATTTATCAGCAGCAAATGGAAAACTTCAAAGGGATCCATCTCCTATTCTTTTCCCTTGTTGATATAATGTTTTTAGTATCTATGAAAAGATGTAGTCCAAGCTTTTTGTTTAAAGACTCATTGTAAAGTCAACCTCAAGGGATTAGTTATTTCATGATCTTGGATGAGGTAGGGTATATGCAATGCAAATCTTTATTATTTTAAATCCATAGTTGCATGCTCATTTGGGATTGAGTAAGATTATGACTACAAAGCAAAGCTTGCTTGGGATCAAAGTTGTGCAAGTCTCTGCTTCCACCTAATAACGAAACAATCTTTTCTAACGAAAATGTGTTTTGCAACTCGTGAATCTTACTTTTCTATGCGAAACAAAGGGATGGCGGGTATGTATCTCTCTAATATACGAAACACAAACTCTTATAGTGAATCTGGATGTAGGTTACTATGTTGTATATGAGGATCATCCTATATAATTTAATAATAGTAAGTATGTAAGTTAAAATTATCAAAATTATAACAACATTTTAGTTCCCGGTCAAATAAATCATTACATTAATACTAAGGGATTTTTGATCTTTTACATAATTTGATAATAACAAGTATGAAAGTGTTGAAATATTCTCATTTATTTGGTCAAACTAATTGTTGATTCGTTTTGTTATTATTTGTTTGTTTAAGGTAGATACTGTCCTTGTTGGTTTCTTTTGTTTAGATCTATTCCGGGTTTGGAGCGCCAGTTGGGTTGAGTATATATTATTTGCAGGTGAAGGAACCTCATTAGAGTGTGTGAAAATATCTATGGTTCTCTCTCGTTGTGTATTCTTTTCAGTTCATATTAGGGTTTCATATTTTTTACCGATTCATATTCCTTTTGTTCTTGTTCAAGTTTTGTATGAGTGTTAATCTTCGAGAGCAGTATAGGAGCTTGTAGAGAGGTTTTCCTTTGTAAGTAAATGTCAAACAATCCGGTTTATTAATGAAATAGACTGATCATGTTGGGAAAAATTTGGATTGTTATTTTGTACATGGTATCAGAGCTTAAGGTGCTCTAACTGTTGTTTATGACGACTTACTGAGAACATTGTCTATGTTTGTTTCGTTATCTCTTCTTTCTTTTTCGCATTTTCTTTGATCTTTGGTACTGTGGCATTTGTTCCTTTGCAGATCGTGAAGATCGTTGTAGTTTCGGAAGGATCTATCTCGTGGTGTTTTTGGAACATTTGTTGTACCTTCAGGATTGCTCAATCTCTAAATAGGGTTTGATTAACCCTATCAAAGAGCAAATTTAGGTTTTGACTAACTCGTTTCGAGGTCATCCCTATCATCTAAAATAACTCCATTGGGATCGAAGCCTAGGAGAAGCGATCCAGGGTTTGTCTTCCTCAAATTGATCTTAAGGTTTCGTAACCCTAAATTCTTTGTACTTTGTGTTGCGGGTACATGTCTCTTGGAAGTAAGTGGATCTTCATTGTTGTTGTAGAAGATGTAATTTCTACAACTGTAAGTCCTCTTTAACCCTCGTCTGTTCAGATCTTGTTCCTGGTTTTTCTATGGTGCGACATGTTGCTTGGCTTCTTGTTGCTATCCTCCTGCTTTTTTTTTTCTTCTGTTATATGAGGGGTGGTTACTGACCTTGGTTCACCATCATATTGGCTGAATATCCTGGTCTTTTGGTAACTCAGTCTCCTTTGTGTTTTCTTATTATGTTTGTTGTTTTCTTTGGCTGGTGGTGAGACTACTGATGCTTCGGGGACTAATTCCACTGAAACACCATATGTTGATGACCCTTTGTATATTCATCCTACCTATATTGTTACTGGAACTATCATTTCTTTCAAATTAATTGGAACTGAGAATTTTAGAATATGGAAAAGTTCCATGAATAAAGCTCTAAAGGCTAAAAATAAACTTGGATTTATGGATGGAACTGTAACTAAAATTAAGAATGATCCTGTTAAATGTCTCAAATGAGAAAGAGAAAATGTTATTGTGTGTTCTTGGATTCTTGGATCCATATCTGAGGCCATCTATGCAGGATAAGCTTGCTCTGAAAAGGCTGCTGACATAAATGAACTAAATGAAACCTACTTTAAATCTGATGGACCTGTTGTTTTCAACATTCATCAGAAAATTAATTCGTTAACCCAAAATGGTTTATCTGTATTAGACAACTATAACAACTTGATTCCTTATGGAAGGAATTTGATGGATTAACCAATTTAACTAAATGTGTGTGTCCTACTTCCACACAATTTAATAATCATTCAAAACTTATGAAGCTCATGCATATTCTAAGTGGGCTTGATGACTATTACAACCAAGTAAAAAGTCATATCCTCCTTACTGATCCTCTACCTAATGTTAGAACTGCATTCTCTATTATTTTCAGAGAAGAGTGCTTTCGAAAAAATGGTTCTGTCTCTAATACTCCTAATAAGTCTCAAAACACCTCTGTGTTTAACAATAAGTTGAATGACAATAAGAGAAATAGAGGTCCTAATCCTAATCTTCTTTAATTGGTTGGATCTCCTAAAGACTTCAAACCAAGAGCAAATTTTAATAAAAACTTTAACAACTCTAATGGTAACAATTTTTCTATAATAGTTCTGAAAGGTCCTTTTCTGGAAACAATGTTGTAACACCCAGAATCAGAAAGACCAAGAAAGGAAAGAAAAGCCCTAAGTCGAAAGAGTCAACTCGTCGAGTCCAAGGAAGAACTCGATGAGTCGGAACGGGCTCCATGTGGAAAATTAAGTGATCGACTCGACGAGTCAGCGAGTGGACTCGGCGAGTCTGGTCTGGGTTGGAAAACCCTAATTCCGAGACTTGGCACCCTATTTAAGCATCTCATTCTCTTCCCTAGGGTTCATTTGCGGCCCCTATAGTCAAGAACTCGAAACCATAGCCACCCAACCTCATTCTTGAGCTAGTTTCTTACTTTCTTACCTTGTGAGTGAATTGAAGCTTGGAGAAGGAAGAAGGACCTTGGTGGTGAAAGAAGGAGATATAGATCCGGAGTTGGTGTAGCATTTCATACCATTTGGAGGTAAAAAGCTTATGCCTTGTCTATTAATCATTTAGATCCCTTTCTAGCATAGATTTTTGTCACATTTGGACCATTTCCAAGGGCAATCCAAACTTTGAGCCTTGAGGACGAAAAGGACTTGAGATCTGAGCATTTATGACTTGAGGAGCTCTGAGGGTGTAGCTTTACCCAACCATAGCCTCATTCCATAACCTAGACCTTCATAATAGCTTGTATTTGGTGTTCTAGCTTCATAACACCTTGCATGCATGTAAAGTTAGCAACTTTACGTGCAATGTTAGCATTTGGAGCCCAGATCTATGGGTTGGAGGTGTTAGAATGGATTGTAATCGACATAATATAGTTGTCAAAAGGAGGACTCAGCGAGTCAGTTCATGGACTCGGCGAGTCGGGTCGTAAAACCAAACCCTTCTATTTATGAGTCGGATCAGTGAGTGGGGTTAGTGAGGATTCAGTTAGTCTGGACCCTTAATGATCATCAAGATCATAACACTCGACGTGTTCAATGAGAAACTCGACGAGTCCAAGACAATCTTCTTAATTATGAAGATGAACTCGACGAGTTGTTCATACAACTCGGCAAGTCAAAGCTAGACATTTATGCTATTATGATGAACTCAACGAGTTCGAGGATGAACTTGGCGAGTCCGTTGAAGATGGTCCTAAAGTGTTAGTTGAAGGAGAATCCGTCGAGTTATTTCCAGACTCGACGAGTGGAGTCGGGGTTGTTTTGGGATAGAAGAGCATGGACTCGGCGAGTTGGTAGAACAACTCGGCGAGTCGGGTCAGCTGGAAGGTTGACTTTGACCAGGATGTTGACCTGAGTTGACATAGTTGACCTCGGGAGGACAGTTTAGTCTAAGTGTTATTATTGGTATTGGTAGCTCAGGGAGCTAGAGGAGCAACATTTCAGAGAGTGTTCGGTTAGCAGCTAGAGGGTTATCGACCGAGTTCAGTAGTTCAGGTGAGTTTTCCTTCCAGTAGGAATGGGTCTACGACCACAATGTCGGCCCGTTTAGATAGCAGTAGCTCCGGACTTTGGTCCGATGCAGTAATTCAGTATGCTTGAAGTCTTTGTGATTCGGGCATGTATATGTGTTAGCTAGTCCGGGCCTCAGTCCGATGCAGCATGCAGTATATGTGCTTTTGTTATATGCTATGATTATGTTATGCTATGTTCAGTTAGTCCGGACTTCGGTCCGATGCAGGGGGCAAGGCCCCAGTTAGTCCGGACTTTGGTCCGATGCAGTGGGCAAGGCCTAAGTTAGTCCAGACTTCGGTCCGATGCAGTAGGCAAGGCTCAGTATGTGCTTTATATGTTATTGTATGGTATGTGGTAGTTTGAGGGAGATCACTAAGCTTCGTGCTTACAGTTTTCAGTTTTGGTTTTAGGTACTTCTGGTAGCGGAGGGAAGAGCTCGGGATGATCGCATGACACACACCATAGTTAGTCAGTCTGGGATGTTTTACTCTGATAATAAGAACATGTTTTGAATTAATACTCTGATTTGATGTAAGGAATTATGTTATGGATAGACAATCGTGGTTTAAGTAATGTTTTTCAAACAAAATTTTTAGTCATGATTTTTGGGTCATCACAAATGTAACTTCCAATAATAGTAATGGTGATTTTTCATTTTCTAGTTCCACTTCTTCTGATCTTAGGTCTCTCATTGGAGATCAATTTTCAAAACTTCAACCTATCAGTGACAAACAATATGTGGATGAAGTAACTGCTAATTCCAACATGGCATGTACGTCTTGTAATTTTGTGTTTAAAAATACTTTTCAAACTAATAAATGGGTTGTTGACTCTGGGTCAAACCAACATGACTTCAATTGAGTCTAATCTGAATAATGTTGTTAATGTTTCTAACCTTAATTTAAGAGTTGACCACCCAAATGGTTCAACAACTAAAGTTCATAAAATTGGAAACATGAATCTTTCAAATAAACTTACTTTACCTGAATTTAATGTCAATCTCTTGTCTGTTCACAAACTTTGCAAAGATAGTAAATGCAAAGTGATTTTTGATGAGTACAATTATATGGTGCAGGATTCACAGTCCATGGAGACTGGTAATGAGGGATGGAGACTCTACTATCTTTCATGTACTCCCCCATGCAAGCCCTCGTGCAACTCTTGTGTTATAAAATTCTTTGTTTCTAAACTAACTTGGCGTAATAGACTTGGACGTCCTACTGATTATGCCTTAAATGTCTTAAAAGATAAACTTAACTTTGATAATAAATCCCTTCCACCT